CTTTTATCCCTTCCTTCCTATCCATAAGTCAGGTTCGTATCACTTGTGTGTATTCTGTCTCACCGGACTCCACGAAGTGGCTGCAGTGGTTTGACAACTCTGAAACCCATTTCGAAATTTGTCACTGAGCAAGTGCCAGGAGGTGAGGCCTGAATGAGGTGCTGAGTAGGTCATCAGGAAGGATCAGTGGCTTCCTGCAGGGGCCACATCAGCACTCGCTCTTGCAGAACCAGCTTACATAGCATGGCATCCTGTTAGCTTATGTGAATGGTTACATTGTGAGGCTGCCTCTTCTGGTGTTATTTTCCCCTCTCTTTTTGGGCACACTCTTACCGTTCCGGTTACTAAGCAGCACAAAGCCCTTATCAGGTAGAGCCAGTCAGTCTTGGATTTCCCAATCTCCAGAACGACAAGTCAAAACAAACCCACTTCTTTAATAGACCTTCTGGTAATGTGTATTCTGTTACAGCCACAAGAAAATACAGTAGGACGGTGGGAACCCAGTGAGTGTGTGGTGAACCTGCTCCACACACATCAGCGGTCAACACATCTGGATTCTTGGCTGGCCTCTGCCATTTTCCTGCTATGCGACTTTTTGGACAAGTAGATTCACCTCACCACATTTTAACTGTCTCATTGCACACTAAAACTTCATACATCTACAGTATTGACATAAATCTCTGTTTGTATTCCTTCAAGTATTTGTTGTAAGGCGTCACTGACTGTTACTTAGTTCATAGAGACCCATGGCTTTTATTGTTCAGAAAATTATACTTGATCAAAATAAAAAGTATTTACTTTTTGCCACTTCCTCAATTTTCTCTTGACTTCCATGTTAACACTACAATGACTCATGTGTTTTTGACTCACTTGGAGTATAAACATGGAACAATTTTATTACTGAAATAACCATTATCAGCAGAGCTGAAGAGATGCTATACAATATTTTAGTCTGATCTCATCACTCCCAGTCCCTACTAGGTTATTGAGACCCCCATTTAAGGTATCAATTCCCTCCCTCCAAATACAGGCAGCAGCTTGGCAAGAAAGAGCTCATGGAAGTAGGAAAGATACGACCAAATACCTCTTACCCTCTCTTGCCCACTTCCTCAGTCCTGTGGCGGCTTCTTAGCTAGCAGTGAAGGACAAGGTTTCTCTCAGGACCACACAGGGAAGTTGGAAGACTTCTGATGTTCCATTGTAAATGCTCTTCTCTTGCTATTAACCACTCATCATTAATAATGCAGTGACTAACTCTTGGCCTGCCATTCTAGCTGAGCAACCTCATTGATGTGGACTGTGTGCACATGAATGAATACCTGCTGGTCTGCGTCACAATCCCAACAACCTCAAAGGATCCAAACACATGCTCCACCAGGTCCCCAAAGGTCACCCAGTGTACGTGGCCTTCTAATGAATGTTCCTCTTTGACCCAAGTTTTGGTCTATGGCCATACCACCCTGAACAAGCCTAATCTTGTCTGACCCAAGTTTTCAGAATCTCTACCAAGTGGTCGTTCCCATTCTTACCCATTCTTCATGGGTATATGTGGAGGGATCAAACTTCTCAAAGACTCAAGAAAAAAACTTTAAAGGAAAAATGTCACTTCCCTTTCCAATTTTGTTCTTCCCCTCCCTGGAACAGCATAACATCTTACAGTTTTGTGAACTTTGAACTGGATCGCAATGATTTTGGCTTCCTTCTCAAGTAGGAAATCTCTCAAACTTAATAAATATCAATTTCATATCTCAAATATAAATACTGCCAGCCATCTTATATTTTATAGCCCTGCAGTGGTAAGAAGGGAGAAAGCAAATGAGTCCCGCAACCCTGGAAGCAGCACATGTATTAAATTTAGGGCTAAGATTTCTCCTCCCCCATGCCTCTTCTTCTCCATCTTCCTCCTCCATCAAAGAGACATTTAACTCCTGATTTATTGCAGTGTTATCATTTACAATACCCAATAACTGGAAACCTTAGTGATAAAGAAAATGTGATACATATACCCCCATAGCATACTCTTCATCCATAAAGATGAAATCTTGTTATTTACAATGACGTAGTTGGGAATAAACAATATTAAGCTAAGTGAAATAACCCTAGCATTAAAAGACAGACACCAAAACATCTCAGGCATGCATGGAATCTTAAAAAAGCCGATTTCATGGAAGTTAATAAGATGTTCTATTGCACAATAGGATGACTACAGATAATGTATTGTGCTTTTGTGAAAAAATACCTAAAAGAAACTATTTTGAAGTTTTCACTGAAAAAGATCTTAAGTATCTGAGAAGATATGTTTACCCAATTAGACATTTCACAGCATATGCATTTATTAAAACATTACATGGTACCTAATAAACCGGTATGATTTTTATGTAAGTTAAAATAAAAATCATAGACAAAGATTAAAGTGGAATATTGGGAAAAAAAGAAGCATTGGATCAGAAAGCAGAATTGCTGGGCAGGTGACAGGTTGATGGGAGATTTCTGGTAAAGAATTGACCCAAAAGACTCCTCCTGCAGTAAGCAGGTTAGTCCATGATGGTCACATGGAACTGCGCTCCATAGAGATGCTAGAAGCTTCTATATGAAGACACTTCTAGTAAGTTCAATGGAATTTTAATTTGATTGAGGGAAGGAATGCTAATGAAGTAGATAAACCAATCAACTCTCCTAAATGTGGTTAAAAGATTCTTCTGTTTATTATTGATCCCTGAATATTGCATTTAGTTAATTTATCATAGCAGGAAAACTTCTAAGAAACATCTTGAATTTAAAAAATTAGTGAACAGTGTCCACTTGCTTTAAGGAAGTAATCAAAACTGAACAAATCACAGGGTCAGACGGCGCTGTTTGTGTAGGTGGCCATCTAGTGCTAGAAACTGCACAGCAAACAGCACGACGGATGTCACAAATGAGAGCGAGCTGATACTTGCAGCTCACATGTGTTAGCACCCTCACAGTCTAGGGAGTATATGTTTCTGGAAGTTTGTTAATGGCAGGCCCATGAAACAGTAAGTAAGCTAAAGTTACTTCCTCTAGGTAAGTAACTTAATGTCAGTAGGACTCAGTTTTCAAAGCTATAGAACAACCACTCATTCATTTTGAAGGTGTTTTTAAACCCTCAAGAATTCAAAGGACTGTTTTGTTTTCCTTGTTATTAATCTATTCACTTATTTATTTTGCAGACAGGCTAAAACAGCTGTGCAAGATGAGACACATGTCTTTGTGTTAATTTAGTGATAAAATTGCCATGCTGTATAACTAATTGATCTCAGATTTGGAGAGCTCCCATTTGGCAGTAATATCTCATTTCAGGTTCTTTGTTGCTTCAAGCAATTGTTCATATTGCCAACCCCAGTGATTTTCCTAAGAACCAAATCTAATAATCAAAAAGAAAGGGATAAGAGGCAGGGAGAGAGATTATTCCACTTGGAGTTGTTCTAAAAATCCATATTCCATTTTAAATTTTATTGTTGTGTTTTATTTTACTATTCATTCACATAATGCCTAGAGCAGTCTGGGCTGGGCCAGGCTGAAGCCAAGAGCCTGGAACTCAATTTGAGTCTCCCTTCCTGGATGACAGAGATCCACATACGTGGGGCATCACTTGCTGTTTCCCAGGGTGCACATTAGCAGAAAACTCGAGCCACAGACTGGAGCTTGAACTAGGGGCCTCAACATGGGAAATGGACATCCCACATCGTGTCTTAATTGGAAGTCCAAAGGTCCATCCCTCCAAGATATTCTTCAAGGTTGTAAATGAGCAGTTTCTACGCTGGGGTTCCAAGTTCACTGATGATTTTCTTAAAATGTATTTCAGCTTTTGGTAGTGAATTTTTTCATTTTAGATATTGCATTTTTCATCTCTAATAGTTCAATTTTATAATATCTACATTTCTCCCAAAACTGTTCAGGTTACTCTCTACATATGTGGAATATATTAGTCATAACTATTTTAATATTCTTCTCTCTTAATTCTAACATCTGTATTATTTCTGGGTCTCTTTTTAAAGTTTTCATTTTTGATTGACACATACTGACTGTATGTATTTATGGGGTACACTGTGACATTTAGATACATGTATACATTGTGTTCTGGGTCTATTTCTAATTGATTGATTTTCTTCCTCACTGTAGGTTATCTTTTTTGCTCCTTTACATGTCTGGAATTTTTTGACTCAATGCTAGACCCAATAATTTTATATTTTAACATGCTGAGTTGTTTTGTGTTCCTTCTGAAATTCTTAAACTTTTTTCAGCAGCTGAGTTCTTTAGAAACAGTTTGACCCTTTTGTGCCTTGCTTTTAAACTTTATTAGATTGGACTAGAAAAGTCTTGAGTTTCAGTAACTAATTTCAACCAGAGAAATTTTGTCTTTAAGCAAAGAGAGACATAGAGCAATGAGTGGAGACATTTTCAGTTGTTCTAAGTGAGAAGTGGGAATATTACTGGAATTTCTAGAAACTAGAGATACAGCAAAAAAAATTCGTGTAATGTGCAGGAAAGCTCTTCTCCATCTTCCACTCCAGGCTCCTATTCCTCCACCCTAATAAAGAATTACTTAGCTCAGGATGTCAATAGTATCTCATTACTCAGTTTTCTACCACTACCACTAAACACCTAAGATCGGCTACTTATGAAGAAAGGAGATTTTATCTTGGCTCCTGGATTTGAAGATTTTCATTTAAAGATTGGGTTAGGCCTGGGCCAGAAGCCTAGTGGCTAAAGTCCTCGCCTTATATCACATATCCCAGTTCTAATCCTGGCTGCTCCACTTTCTATCCAGCTCCCTGCTTGCGGCCTGGGAAAGCATTTGAGGGTGGCCCAAAGCCTTGGAACCCTGCACCCATGTAGGAGACCTGATGAAGTTCCTGGCTTTGGGTCAGCTGAGCTCCAGCCGTTGTGGTTACTTGGGGAATGAACCGTCAGATGGAAGATCTTTCTCTCTGTATCTCCTTCTCCCTGCAAATCTGCCTTTCCAATAAAAATAAATAGTGCTTGCTTCGGCAGCACATATACTAAAACTGGAAAGATACAGAGATTAGCATGGCCCCATGCACATGGATAGCATCCAATAAAAATAAATAAATCTTAAAAAAAAAAAAAAGTGGGCTGGCACCATTAACCCAGCCATCTGGTTAGGCCAGAGGACAGCCATGTGAAGAATGATCACATTGAAAGCCATGAAGCTGAGACAGTGAGGCTCCACTCAGCCCATATAAGCAACAGTAAATAACTGTTTTCCACAATCATGTACCTAGTGGCCCAAGGATCTCCTTTTAGGTCTACTTCTCAAACACTGTAACCGGGTTAAGTGTCTTTCTTAATACTGTTAACTTATAACTTTGGTGAATGAACACATATCTACATGAGTTCAAGAAGCATGGCCTTTTCAAATAAAAGCAACTAGTCTAGGACTAGCTAGGCTGCATCACAGCAGAACCCTTCTGAGTTCTTGTGTAATACCCTTCATAATCAGAGTTCTCTGCCCTAGTTGCTGAAAAGTTGAACTGCTGAAAGCTCTGTGTGATGTTCCTGAGTTATTTTCCATACTCATTTCTGGAAACATTAGGTGGCTTCCTTGTATTCATGTCAATCTGTTCTCAGCTGCAAAGCAAGAGGACCTCTGTGTGGATCGGCAGGCCTCAGTCTCTGGGAAGCACTCCAGGATGGAGCCCCACATGTTGAACACACGCCATGACTGGTTCTCTTCCATCCTCTAAGTCATAGGTTCCCAACTGCCTCTTTTGCCTCTCCCTTTCTGCCTGAAATCCGTGTGTTAAAGAAACAGTTGCTTATCCACTAAAGTTTTCTACCGCCTTGATTTGGATCTCAAGGATCAAGCATAATTTAACATTTCTCAGTTGCCTATATTTCTTAAAATTGGTAAATAGAGACACAGATTTGATGAAATTTGGGTATAATTAATATTATATTAATGTAGTTTGTAATTTTATCTCAGGAGGCATACTTTGTGATGCCAGTAACCTGGAATTATTGCATAAATTCATGTATTCATTAGTTACATGGTTTTAGCCTATCATTTTTCTTCATACATTAGCTTAAATACATGTATAAATTTCTCCTCATTTTTATTCTAATTCTATAATACTCTTCATTTAGTAAAATGAATATTTCTGTAAATACTTCAATTATTTCTTTCCCTACTAGAACAGGAATTATACAGGGAAAGAGATACATACTTATGCCTTCCTTTTCATTTACCAGTTTTTGACATAATGATTTCTTCCCTATCATCCTACAAAGATATCCAAAGGGTTTTTGTTATTTTTTGGTGGTTTTTTTGCATTATTATAAACTCAAGGAGTCAAGCATATTTGATATGTTTCAATCCATTGCATTTCTGATTCATGTCAATGTTTCGTTTTTTTCCTCTCTTTTTGATCAGTGGGAACCTAGTCAAGTGACTGCTACATCCTTTTGACATGACCTCACCAGTGTTTGATAGTTTCTTCGATATCTGATTATACAAAAAAATTTTCAGGTTTGGGGCAGTTGCCTGTGAAACCAGCATCCCTCATGGGTGCTGGTTTGATTCCTGGTTTTTACACTTCCTATCCGACTCCCTGCTAATGAAACAGGAAAAGTGATGGAAGGTGGCTCAAGTCCTGGGGCCCTTGTGCCCACATTGGGGAATCCAGATGCAGCTCCTGGCCCCTGGCTTCCACCCATACTAACCCTCACTGTAGCAGCCATTTGTTTATCTTGGCTTAACAAAGTTCCATCAGGACATTGTCCCTGTTCCAGCAGATGAAAGATCTCTCTCTCTTTCTCTCTCTCTGTCCCTCCAATTCTGTCTTTTTAAAAGAAATTTAAAAATAAATCTTTTATTTAAAAAAATTCAGGCTTACGTGATTGTGCTATATCATAAGAATCCTCTAAGTAAGGAAAGTTCCATCTTGCATTTCTCTGCTGCAATACAGGAGAGCCAGTTTCCTACAATTTCACCAACAGACTCCCGTTCAAGCATGATGTCACACCTCTGTGGGTCACCCCTGCGACAGCTGAGAAGTGCTATCTCTAAGGACTTTTAATTCATATCTATCACTACAGGTTGACCAGATATCTTCTCATATGGTTAAAAGCCATGGTCTGTAACTTGTTCATATTTCACCCTATTTTGCAACAAGTGTGTCCATTTTGCAAGGTTGGTATGAACAAAATATAAATTCATTTAACCAGCCAATATAACGTTAACTAGATGCCGTGGGCTAAAAGCAAGGCAAACTCCAATATACTGAGAGGCTCTCTGGATGGTGGAGCTCTTAGTCTCACTCCTTAATCATCACACCTTACACTCTATTGTAACAAACTGGACACTCAGAGTAAGTGAAGGGAAAAATGTCAAACCAAAATAACAGGATTGTCTCCTTTATTTGTAATGTTTTTAGATTGAGAAGATGTGTCACACTTTAATCAAGTGATCGTAAAAACTAATTGTAGTTAGGCCCCAATGCTTTTTGTTACATGTCAGTAAGTCACCTTGCATATCCTCAGGGAGAAATAGACAGAAACCACCATCTCACTGATGGTGAGATGAGATACCAATGTTTATCTTGGCTTAACACAAGATCCACCAGGACAGGGTCCCTGTTCCAGCCTCCTCTCTCACCAGCTGTCCCCTGGTTCTTGATGGTCCAGGGTCCCTACAGTTTCCCAAACAAGGCCTTCTGTTTAAGGCACGCTGCATCCTTCTCCCCGCAGCCAGTATGCTTCCACTGTGTGCTAGTGTGTAGCCTACAAACATATCAAGAAACTACTCCTGCTCCAACGTGACAAGACAGCTCTGTGCAGAAATTCCAACTTTCTCAGGCTGACTTAGGCCACATCTTGTATAGGCTCACCGTCGGTGCAGTGGTCTAAACATTGACAAAGCTATTGGAAGAAGTCTAGCTTGCAAGCACAGGTAGGCCCTTTCCCTGACTTGGGAATCATTCTCCAGCTGTCCACCACTGGGAAGACAGCTTGAGAGAGAAGCACAGAACAGGGTCCAGCCTGTACCCTGCTTTCCCCCAACCCTAGACTAAGAGTCAGCCTGGAGCGTTGCCTGAGTCACAGCAGAGAGCTGGAGGCAGTGGGAGAGACAGCAGGAGCTGTATGAAAACCTGGACTGCAAAGGCAGGTCTGAAAGTCACCGGATAAGCACACTGAGATTGGCTCAAAGAATGCAACTACAATGTGATGCTAACAGGGAGCTCCACGCCATCAAGCTGCCCACTGAAGCACAGTGGGGAGGAAGGGAGTACCCAGGGACCACATCTTCCAGCCAGACAGAGTGACCACGGTCAGGCCTAATTGATTCCTGCTTCCTTTCACCCTTCCTGTTGGAACCTGACCTCGTTCCATTTGGCAGGCCCTCCCTGACACATCTCTAGCTTCAGGCTTGCCAAAGTACCAGGATCTAGGTTCCAACAGAGAGGCCGCAGCCTATGGCTTCATCTAAGCCAGGCCAGAGAACATCAGATAAAACCAATAACATGTCAAGTGGACTTCTTTATTAATTATAGAGTAACATCCAGTGGGCAAAAAGGAAGAGCTATTGGTTTCTTGAACTTCATCAAGTCAGTTTAACTGGACAGAGTTAATGACACAATTACCTGCGCATCTAGCAACAAGGAGGGGACTGAAAAACCCCAAGCCAGTGGCAGCCCGCCTCTAAGGATATCTCCCAGACTAAAGGCCAGGTTGCAGCAGTAACAAGCTTGTGGCCATGCTGTTCATCTGCTGCTCTCCTGCAGCATACTGTGGTAGTTGTCAGCTTCTAGCCTCGCAGCATGCAGCAGCAGCCAGCCAGCTCCCAGCTATTCCCGCCTGCCTGCTGCTCCCTTGCAGTGTGCTTAACAGCCATAACTTCCTCTCTGTATATCTGACTCTCCAATAAAACAAATAAATCTTTTTCGAAAAAATAAGCATAACCCTGCTCGCTCTCTCACTTACTGCTCCAACTGAGACACCAGTCTCAACTGGTTACTTCCCAAGACACCTACTCAATCAAATATATTCCACTGAAAGGAAAGATTATGAAGAGAATTAATAACCTACAACCAGTTAGTCTTTCTAGATCCTAAGGAGATTTTATTTTAAACAAAGAGTGCGGGGCACCTCCCTTGAGACTCTGATTCTGGAAAGTCTGCAATAATACTTGGAAGTGTGAATATTTCATTCCCTGCATGATTTGGGTATGGTCCTGAGAGTATCCTCAGGGATTCAGGCACCGGAAGCTTGGTCCTTAGCATGATGGTATGAGTGGTGCTGGAATCTGAGGTGGGGTCAGTAGCAGGTCACTGGGGTATCTCCCTTAGAAGGAGTTAAAGTAGTTCTCTTGGGATCCCCAAAGTGAGTTCCCCTGAGAGTCAGGCACGTTTATTCCTACCTGGAGATGCTGGACACTCTTCTTCCTCACCCTGGCGCTGCACTGACACTTTTGTTATATGTTCGTTAACCTCATGTGGATGAAGGATCAATATCTTTTTTTTTTTCCTGCTTCTTCTCCCCATGAAGGACTGTACTCAAGGGATTACATCATGGAAATGTAACATAAATTAACATGCTCAGTGGTGGAAATAAAAAGAAATGAGTCCTCATGCATGACTGACAATCTCCTACATTACTGGGAGATGCCCCAGTGGCAGCCTGATGGACTTGTGAAAAATCACAAAAGACACCCACTGCAAGACTGGAGGGGAGAAAAGAAGTGAGAGAAGGGAATTTGTGGGGGGTGGGAGGGAAGGGAGACCCCAGTGCCAACTAAACTATATCAAAAAACAATTAAAAAAAAAAAGCAATTAAAAAAAAAAAGCGCAAGTCTGAGTCCCTGGCTCTCTCTGTCTCCACCTAGTGGATCCAGCCCTCTATAACACCAGGCTCCCCGCAGGGCACATCCACCATGGTGTGACAGAGTCACGCAGTGTCTCACTATGACCAACACCATGCTCTTAAACTTCCAGAACTGTACATTAAATGCATTTTAAAAAATAATGTTCCCAACATCAGGCATTTTGTTACAGTGATAGAAAAATAAACTAGCACAATTCCTCTCCTCCATGAATTTGATTATTATAGACAACAAGAAAAGGAG